CGGCACCCAATCCTATGCCCGCGCGCTTCCTTCCCCCGGCACCCCCGTGCCCATGGAGCGCGATCCTATAATGCGAGGCCAAACCAATTCCACTGGGCCTGAACTGGGAAGGAAGCGCAGCCTCATCCGCCCCGAGCGCCAGCGAAACGACCCAAGCCACCCGAACTATCACTACCGCAAACACGCCCAGCGCATGGACGTCCACCCCTCGACGACGGGCAACGACCCTATCCTCGAAGACCATCTGGAAGCTGAAACGGTCAGCTCAGACAGTACCGATGTCAAGCCCCCACACCTGCGAAATGCCTCAGGCGGAGGCTACAATGACAAGCAGGCTCCCATGGACGACGGAGAGCCGCGGATACAACGCAAGTTGACACGGAGCGAGACAATGAAGGCGCGCGAGAAGCAGCGCCAGAAGGAGCAGGACAAGCTACGTCCACCTAGTCTGTGGAACGTCTACTGCGCCATCGTTACCTTCTGGTGCCCGAACGCTATCCTGAAGTGCTTTGGAAAGCCGCAGAAGGCGCAGCAGCGAGCCTGGAGAGAGAAGGTCGGACTCGTCAGCATCATCATGCTCATCTGCACGTTCGTTGGATACCTCACATTCGGTTTTACGGAAACCGTCTGCCCCTCTGGCGGCAACGCTCGTCTCAGGACGAACGAAGTCGGCGGTGGATACCTCATCATTCACGGCAAAGCCTATGATCTCGCCCAGTCCAAGCACCCCCGAGCCCGCGGCGTCCCCGAAGACGCAAACGTCCTCTTCGATCTTCCTGAGAAACACGGCGGTCAGGACGCCAGCTTCTTGTTCCAGAACGTCAACGGAGCCTGCAAGGGTCTCATCACCGAAAAGGAGAACTCTGGAATCCCCACAACCGGCAACGGAGACCTGGGTTGGTATTTCCCGTGCCGACTGTTCAACCAAGATGGATCGACCAAGCCCAACACCACCTTCTTGGAGTACAACGGTTACCTCTGCCACACCTCGGACAAAGCTCGCAGGGGCTTCTACAGCCTCCACAATGCTGGCGATGTTTACTACACCTGGGAGGACATCCGCAACAGCTCCAGGAATCTGATGGTCTGGGGTGGTGATGTGCTTGACCTAAACTTGCTCGACTGGTTCAACCGAACCCAGGTCAACATCCCACCTCTATTCGATGAAATCCGCCAGAACCCCGCTGTTCGCGGTGTCGATGTCACCCGCGCGTACTCGTCCAGCTACGAGAAGCAGGTAGCCCGTTGCTTCACCGAGACCATTAAAGTTGGCTCCATCGACACAGAGAGCATTGGCTGCATTGCTTCCAAGGTTGTCCTTTACGTCTCGCTCGTCTTCATCCTGGCTGTTGTCATGGCCAAGTTCGTCCTCGCTTTGATCTTCCAGTGGTTCATCAGCAAGAAGTTTGCTGCTACCAAGACATCTATCGGCCCCGCCGACTCCAAGCAGCGAAAGCAGCAGATCGAGGAATGGAGTGATGATATCTATCGCCCACCACCAAAGCTCATGGACCCATCGTCCGGCTCTGACCGCAGCAACAAGCGTGGCAGTACCTTCTTGCCACAAACTTCGAGGTTCACCAGCCCCTACTCGGTTGACAAGAACGCAAAGACCCGTGCCCCGCCCACAACCATGACTAGCCAGAGCACAGCATCTCGTGTCCTCGGATCGAACGGTGGCATGTACAAGCAACTCAACGCCAGCCAGGGCACTATGCCCATGGATGGAAAACACAATGCGGTATTTACGGCACAGGAATCTCGATCTAGCCTACTCCTTTCTGGTAACACCGATACCAACCGTTACTCTAGCGTCGAAGGTTCCGGGCCCGCAGGTTTCACACACGAAGCAGTCGTGCCTCAGCCTCCTCCAGAGTGGCAGCCTTTCGGATACCCATTGGCTCATACCATCTGTCTTGTCACCGCCTACTCTGAAGGTCCCGAAGGTCTGCGAACTACACTCGACTCTATTGCTACAACCGACTACCCCAACAGTCACAAGTTGATTCTCATCATTTGTGACGGTATGATCAAGGGTCACGGTGAAGACTTGACAACGCCCGAAGTCTGTCTTGGTATGATGAGGGATCACGCGGTATTGCCCCACGAGGTTCAAGCGCACTCGTACGTCGCAGTCGCCAGTGGCTCGAAACGACACAACATGGCCAAGATCTACTCGGGTTTCTATGACTATGGCGAGACGACGCGCATTCCCGTCGAGAAGCAGCAACGTGTTCCGGTGATGCTAGTGGTAAAGTGTGGTACACCTGATGAGGCCAAGAAGTCCAAGCCTGGCAATCGTGGAAAGCGAGACAGTCAGATCATCCTCATGTCGTTCCTGCAAAAGGTCATGTTTGACGAGCGTATGACGGAGCTTGAGTTTGAGATGTTCAACGGTATCTGGAAGATTACTGGCATATCGCCTGATTTCTATGAGATAGTCCTCATGGTGGACGCCGACACAAAGGTCTTCCCTGACAGCTTGACGCACATGATCTCAGCCATGGTAAAGGATCCAGATATCATGGGGCTCTGCGGCGAAACAAAGATTGCCAATAAGCGGGATTCGTGGGTCTCCATGATCCAGGTGTTTGAGTAAGTGCATTTGCCGTGTCTGACAATCGCGCCACTAATCGTACTAGATACTTCATCTCCCACCACTTGGCAAAGTCATTCGAGTCGGTCTTTGGTGGTGTCACTTGCTTGCCAGGTTGTTTCTGCATGTACCGCATCAAGGCTCCCAAGGGCGGTCAGAACTACTGGGTCCCGATCCTGGCTAACCCTGACGTCGTCGAGCACTATTCGGAGAACGTGGTCGATACGTTGCACAAGAAGAATCTGCTACTACTAGGTGAAGATCGTTATCTGTCGACGCTTATGCTCAAGACGTTCCCCAAGCGGAAACAGGTTTTTGTGCCGCAAGCCGTTTGCAAAACCACTGTACCGGATGAGTTCAAAGTCTTGCTGTCACAGCGCAGACGATGGATTAATAGTACGGTCCACAACCTGATGGAGCTTGTGCTAGTGCGAGATCTGTGTGGCACCTTCTGCTTCAGCATGCAGTTCGTTGTGTTCATCGAGTTGATCGGAACCCTGGTCCTCCCGGCCGCCATTGCCTTTACCTTCTACCTAAGTAAGCCCCCGTACCCCGTCTTGAAATTCTGGCTTTGCTGACCACGTCCAGTCGCTATCGCTATCAAAGCCGCCATCCTCCACACCGAAGCTCCTGTCATACCCCTCATCCTGCTAGCGCTCATTCTTGGTTTACCCGCGGTTCTTATCATCGTAACGGCTCATCGATGGTCTTACGTCGCCTGGATGTTCGTCTATCTGCTGTCACTGCCTGTTTGGAATTTTGTGCTTCCGACGTATGCCTTCTGGAAGTTTGACGACTTCAGCTGGGGAGATACTCGAAAGACGGCGGGCGAGAAGACGAAGAAGGCAGGACTGGAGTATGAGGGAGAGTTCGACAGCAGCAAGATCACGATGCGCAGGTGGCATGACTTTGAAGCAGGTAAGGAACACAACTTCTCGCGATAATGCAGTCACTGACGTTGGGCACCAACAGAACGAAGACTCAAGACACCAGCGGCGACATCGGCTGGCGGATGGCCACCGCAGCAACAGCAGCAGGGATACGATCAGTACTATGACAATTGATTTCGCAATGAGGCGTCGCGTAGGAGCGGACTGCATATGTACTACATGATTTGCTGCATTCCTGGGGTGTTCGTTTTAGCAGGCCATTTCTGTCATCGTTTATGAGATAGTGGAATTTCCACTTCGCCGTCGGGGTCACGTAGGCACCTCGCACTAGTAATACATTCTTACGGCATGTCGTCAGCTCTCGCGAGACACGGCATACCGATGCTGAAATACCGCTTTGATGAATGACCTCGCATCAGTGTTCCTGTGCTGTTTTGCAGTCTCAAGATCCGCCCTGTGCGCCCAGCGCCCCCGCAGGGTGGTTCGAGTTTCGCTGGAGCGATCTGTGGCGTGCTGTCGTGGAGTGCCAGCACCGTTGTCCACAGGCAGAACGGCAAGGGGAGACAAAAACGGCGTTCGAGCCACAGTCTGGGGAGGCGCGGTGGGAACCGACGTCTGATTTGCTCCACGAAATAGCCGTGCAACCGTGGGCCGGCGCTCAGCACGTCACCCAGAAGATGCGCTTAGCGAAGCTGGTGTGCTGTCTGTGTCCCAAAAGAGGCCTGACAAGAGCAGATGTGGACGTGGGTGTGTAATGGTGGGTGGCCACTGCATTCTCGTCGCGGGGCCTTGGCTCCAGAAGGTTGTCGTGTTGGCAGTGCCATGTGAGTTGTATCACGGTGCGTGGACACGCCGCAGCCGCTTAACCCTGAGCGCCTGGTGACAGCGTGGAGTCGAGCAGCGTGAATACACAGATCTAACGTCTGGAGATCTGAGAGATGGTGGAGTCGCTAGTCAGGCTTGGGGGTGGGCTGTCCGATCCCCCCGTGTTCAGACTAGAGGGCCCGCGGAGGAGGGCTTGATGGGAATATTCGACGACGTGGAGCGTGGCATATATATCTGACGGCATTGGAGCTTCAGAAGCCGTCCCGACGCGCATAGCCATATTCATGACCGTCACCCTGCCCTGCCCTGCAGCCCAGCCCAACTGTCCCGCAGCCAATACCCGACTGTGACTTGCCAGAAGCAACCCCACAATTAGCCTGGACGTACCTCTGTCGCATGCAGCGCCTGGAGAGCCAGGTCGAGCGCCGAACGCGACCCAGTCAGCCTGCGAAGCGAAGAGCCTAGCCAGTCAGCCCCTGGGCCCTGGACTTGACTGCTGCATTCTGCCTGAGCCTATGCTTCGGCCTAGTCGCCTCCCCCACGCCAGACAAGCCTATACCTTGCGCCCCAACGCCTCTCTACAACTACACCAGCCGACCATTTCGTCGCAGACCCAACTGCCCCAAGAACCTGCCTCGGCGGCCCCGCTGCACTGGCTATCAGGCGGATAGCGGGCGTCGATGGCCAGCATGCACAACTGGCCCGCGCCACACTCCACCACACATCCCACAACGCCGCCGCACGCCCACCCGCCCGCTGGAGACTGGCCGCACTCACCCAGCGCACTGGCTGCTGCTGTGACGCTAGCGACCCTCTCCGACAACAGACCGCCCGATGACGACGGGGACGACGTCGACGACGATGACGATGGTGGGGGGATATCGCTAGAGGACTACCAGCATTTCATGGAAGCCATGCCCGAGTCGCATCAGGCAGGAGCAAACAGCGACGATGGGGACCCCTCGCTGGATGAGGGAGGCACGATAGAAGACATGTTTGGCTTCGGGCCAGTCCATCCATCCTATGTCACATACAACGCGTTCGACATGTTTGCAGGCTCCAGCATACCTCAGCACCACACATCCACTACACATTTCATTGCGCCGGTCACCATAGCAGGCAACCTGCCATACGGTACTGACCTATTACTTGAGCCACCGCCAACACTCAACGAACCGCACCTGAGTATACAGGACCGGGCGGCCTTTTGTCCCATTACGTCCTACTTCCACCGCTTCTACGGGCAGTGGAAGCCCGGTGTTGTGCCTGGTCTGGATCTCATCCAGCTGCCGGAGTTCATTATCCGAGAAGATCTCAAGGGTGATGAGTATGACTACCAGGGAATAGATTGGACCGCCCGGAAGACTACTAGGGCTTCGGTACGGAGAGCAAGGTCGCAACATGAGCGTCAGCGGGTGCCTCATAGTGTGAAGCAGGTTCGCAAGGTATGCATAGTACGAAGAAGCGTTTTCTTGCTCCAGCTACTCCACACCCTGAAGAGATTACTGCGTTCTACAAGCCCGAATGAGGAACAAGATATAACATCTCTCCAGGGTGTAGTATAGCTATGGCACAGAAATGAGCTTCACATATAAGATCTATATCTTTGGCTAACCTCTGTTAGCACGTCCATTCAACACCCAACACGGACAGCTTCTTCCAGTTCCGAAGGATCAACACCAGCCCCCGTGCCTTTGTGCCTCACTTCCAGCTGCGGAATGTTCTGACGGCCACATCTCGCAATGATATCTACTATGCAAAAGGTCACCAAGTACTCCACACAGACGCAGAAGGCACAGTCGAAGACGCCGTCGTTGACCTCAGCAAACACCTGGCTCTCGATGCATCGATTACCACTATCGCTTCCCACGGCGACGTACTCATCGCCGGTGCTTTCGAAGGCGAGTACGCCATCACCAACCTCTCCTCAACCCACGGCTCGCCCTGCACATTCGGCCGCACCACCGACTTTGCGACCGACACAAAATCACGCATAGTTAATCACATGCACCTCTTCCCCTCACGGCGAACCTACACCCCACAAGCCGTCCTCTGTTCCAACGACCACCGGCTCCGTGTGCTCGACTGCGGCACCAACACCTTCGTCCACTCGTTCCTCTACCCCGCAGCCGTCAACTGCTCGGCTACCAGTCCAAATGGACGCATGCGCGTTGTCGTCGGCGATTTCCAAGAAACTCTCATCACAAACGCCGAAACCGGTCAGCCCTTCGAAACGCTAAACTCGCACACTGACGACGCCTTCGCCTGTGCCTGGGCCGACGACGGCATCCACGTCGCAACCGCCGCACAGGACTCCACCATCGTCGTCTGGGACGCGCGCTACTGGGAGAAGCCCCTCGCTGTCATGAAGAGCGAACTCAGTGTCCCGCGTTCCCTTCACTTCTCGCCCATCGGCTCCGGCCCGCGTGTTCTCGTTGCCGCCGAAGCAGATGACTTCATCAACGTCATCAACGCGCAGACGTGGGAGTCGAAGCAAACGTTCGATTTCTTTGGCCCCGCGGGTGGTGTGTCGTTTACGCCTGATGGCCAGTCTCTTTTCATTGCGAATGGCGAGAGGAGGTTCGGTGGTATCATCGAGCTTGAACGCACGGGGTGGGCGGACAAGACAGGGAGGAGGGGCAGTTTCGATGACGAGATCCGGGATGAGATTGTTGTGGATTGGGCGGGTGATGAGGTGCTGGACAACGATGGAAGGGTCCTAGCAGGGGATGTGGCTAGAAGGAGAAGGCATGTGGATTTGAGTGACGTTATCGTATAACGTCGCTTTGTAGATGTGAACCAGCTATTTGGTATCTTGGGTGGGAAAGAATCTTTTGGCGTTTTTGTCTTTCTGCGGAGATGGATGGATGGACTGGGAAGATACCACGGATTGGGCGGTCATTGGGCGGTCATGGTTGGGTATTTAATCTAGCATCGTAATTATCACCAGCATCTTACACTCGTGTTGGCCAGCTGTGCAGTTCAACTTCCCCCACGAGGACCTGACGACGGACTTGTGAGTTCGGATGCACGACTGCTTGCTTGATCAATGTGGTATCATTACTCTTTTTCTTTGCTAGCTAAATTCCTAAGATATCCATACGCGGTTGCATCATCGGCCTACACCTAGGTAGCCTTCTTTCCCTACCTAGCAAATCCAATTCCCATCCTCGTACTTGTGACTCGCCGCAACGCCTTGGAATTCGATTTTGCTGACCCACATAACGCCATCAAATGCATTGTTCGCGTTTCGTCCCTGTTATACGACAAGCTTAGACGAGTAGAACAGCGTTCAAGCAACCGTCATTTTCGGGGTTATCTTAGAGGTACGAAGTTAGCTATGTCTCACATGCACTTCGTACAGTCAGAACTTACTGGTAATTTGAGCATACCGACCCCAAACGACCTTTCCTCCGGCAGTCACTAAACCAAGTTCAGATACGTTTACTTCGATGATAGTTCCCTTGGTTAGAACGCCGAGTTGGGTGTACATGGGCTGAGAAGTCAGTATATGTCTCACATGCACTTCGTACAGTCAGAACTTACCTGTTGGGGGTTCTTCTTTACTGAGATAATCGGCAATTGAACCGTGACGTTCAGCTCAGGATGCGTCACGTTGGCCTTCTTGTAACGCAGACCCATAGGCCTGATGAAGCGCTCGTATTTGACGGGGCGACGGGTGAAACCTGGACCGACGAATGTAGGCTTGGTGATCATACGTTTCCAGCTCTTCTTCTTGGTCTTCTTTCCTGTCTTAACGACTGAGAACATCTCTTCCTCAGAGATACCCTTGACCTTGGGTAGGGGGACGGAAAACCGAGCGGCCTTCTCGTTACGCTTCTGCTTGATCGCTGAGGACAGGGCTTTGGCGTTCTTCTCGTTGCTACGGTCTAGGAGGTAGGCGGGCAGGGCGTCGGTGGCAGGTTCGGGTGCCTCGTTGGATTTGACGTCTTCAAGGTGTCAGTGTATGCCTCATGCCAATGTGTACAGGAACACCTACTCCTCTCCTCGTGTGCGCGGATCTTCTGCTTCATCTGAATCTTCTCTTTACGACGCTTCTCAGCGTACAGCTTGGCCCTCAGACCACGGAAGTTTTGCGCCTTCTTCGAGGCATTGTGCCCTTCACGGGCAATCTTTTTCCGTTGACGTTCGTCATGATCGAAGCGCTTTCCGTGTCTGTTGTGATGGGGTCAGTTACGTGATCTTGGTTTGAGGCGCAAATCGCAAATCGCGAGACGCAGGCATGGTGCCGGAGTAGGCGGTGCGTGTGCGAGATACAGGATCAGGGTAAACGTACTGCTTCGTAAAGCGCTCGATGTATTCGTTCTGAGGCATGGCGACTACCTCTGTGTGTATGCTGTAAGGGTGGTGGTAGTGGAGTGGAGTCTTCCACCAGGCGCCTTGCCTCCAAAAAGTTCGGCACTAGCCCCCACTAGCGCGATGCGGGATTCTTCAACATCGGACTCCCGCAACACCCAAGATACTGAATCCAGCAGCCACCCCGGCCATTGCATCCCACAAACCCCAGTAATGGCTCTATTCGCTCGCTCCGCACGCCATGCGCTCTTCGAATCGAGAGCGATCATCCAACCGACGATCCGCCGCGCAGGCATAACAACCGTATCGCACAACCTCGACACATCGAATACGCCCGAACCGCTCATCCAATCCGGCCACCGCATATCAGACGAAGCCAAAGAGCGCGCTCAAGCACCACAGCCTCTCCCCAAAGACGCTCCCGCACCTGCTTCCACAAACGATATCAAAGCCTCACCAAACGCCCGCTCAGACATCCTCTCGCAAACCCTCACACCCTCCATCCGCAAGCTCCTTCCTCTCCTACAATCGCAGCCCGCACATTACATAACCGCACATCTACATGGCCGCCCATACCTTCTTACTCGCGGAGACACGCTTCGTCTCCCCTTCCAAATGCCACATGTACGGCCAGGGGATGTTCTGCGTCTGAACCGCGCTACACACATTGGATCGCGCGACTACACGTTAAAAGCCCCAGAGCCCGTTAAGGGAAACGCAGATCGTGGGAAGAAGGTGTTTTATCTGGACGAGCGGTTATTCACATGCAGAGCGCGGGTTGTGGGTGTGGAGACTGAGCCGTTGAGGGTGGAGGAGAAGACTAAGAGGAGACGGAGACATGTCAAGCATGTTATGAGCAAACAGTACTTCACAGTCTTGAAGATTAGTGATTTGGAAGTTAAGAGTCTGGAGGAGTATGAGGCTGTGTTGGGACAAGAGGGTAAGGAGAGTGTACAATAGTGGTGGCGTCGAGAGGCGGGATGCGTCTTTGATTGTATCATATGTACGGATAACACGAGCATGTCAGCCTCGGGGCTGTTACGTGAATGCGATATCTCAGGAATGGAAGTACGATATCATGCTCGTATTCATGTCTAAGTGTACATTGGGTATATGCGATCCCGGACGCCGTTTATGCTTTGCCTACTCATCATCGCTGCTAGTAATATCGATCCGACACTAGTGTACCACCTGCGCTGCATAGAAGTCGGGATATTGGTTCTGGATCATCGACGTGACCTTCTCCACCTCCTCTGCCAGGCCTGTGACGTTGGCATCCCACTTCCGTAGCTCTTTGCCGACAACGCGCTCTGCGTGCCCTGTCTTACGCTCACCACTGGCCTCGCCCTCGAAGAAAACGTATCGGTCGATCTGGTCGATGTAACCGGCAAGTCGGCCTTGCTCTAACATCTTTGCCGCGTAGTCCTCGGCCTTCTCAGCGTCGATGCCCAGTAGTTCACCCAGCTGATCAAATCCGATGTTGTTGTAGAGCTTCGATGCGCCGAGCAAGTTGTGTTCCAGGATAGCCTTGTCGAGCACAGTCAAGCCATCAGCGGCCCGGGCGAGATGGTGAGGTTCGAGCTTGGCCGAGAAGGCGTTAATCTCGGCTGGTGTGAGGAGACGGTTCAGGAAGATCTTCTCGAGAATGGCGTAGTCGTCGGCGGAACTGGCTCGGTCGTCCTTGTACAGCTTCGCCAACATCTTACCTCGTTGTGGACCAGCAGGAGCGAGGACTGCACAGATAATTGCTTTCCCAAGAAAGTTGTCGCGCTCTTCAGCGTCCACAACTGGCTCGTTACTCAAAGTGTAGTATCCCTGGGCAGCATCAAGGAAGGACCGTTGCGAGTCGAGAATGCGGGCTTGACTCAATTGGAACATGACCTTGGTAGCCTTGTCTTGTACGTTGAAGATGATGTTCTTGATCTTGTTCAGATGTGTGAAGGCGCTTGTTGGATCGTCTTCCTCCAGGTAACACCGCACTATCCGGATCCAGACCTGCGCCTTGTCATCCGCGGAGACAGACTTTTGTGTTGACTCAAGGTTTATGGTCGCGAGCGTCTGCGCTGACCGTCTGAAGTCATCGTTCTGTTCGAACGCATCCGCCAGAGCATGCTTGATCTGAGTGTCCTGCTCCTCATACTGGCCCGCGCCCTTGGACTGTAATAATGTGATGACCTTCTCTCCAACTTCAATCCTGGCGTCGGGTTCCTTGACCGTGCGGAACGCATCTACGAAAGCAGCGAGGAGTGGCCGCAGAACGACTATGCCGAGCGAGTCATCGAGGAGAGTTTGTGCGTATGCGTTCAGATCGGCGGCGACATTGGTGGATGATTCTATGATCTGCTGGAGGAGAGCAGTGTACTGAGAGGGCTTTTCGCTGGCCGGTGCCGCCTCAATCTGCTGTAAAGCCGAGGTGACAGCTTGTGAAGCCATTGTGGGTTTTTTGGACGAGCTGGGTTGGTTGAGAAGACGTTTAAAGCTCGACCTGAGAAGGTATGAGAGAATAAATGGCGAGGACAAGCGGATAACTCTGTAGCTACAAGCGAGATTCAGTCGTGCCTGTTGGTTGTTGATAGGCAGCAGACGTGGGGCGAGCGCGACCTCTCCAGAGCTGCATTATCGATAAGGACTTGGCACGCTAGTGCGGAAGCGCGTCGGGGAAGAGCGCGCTCCAGTCAGTCGATCTTTCATCATCACTACCAACTCACCCCAGGCAACAACACACACACACACACTCGCTACCATGAACGGCATCAAGACAGAAGCCGGGGTCAAGGCGGAAGGCGATATAGGCTTCATGGACGATGACTTCTACGAGGACACCGGCGAGATGAGCATCAACAAGGACAATCCTCAACAGGATGTCTGGCTCACGCGTATCCCAGACTGGCTCTACGAGGCAGTGTCTAAATGGGATAACGTCGCCGACGGCAACGACAACGATCAGATACAGATCGGCGAAGTCCTCGCATTCGCGACGACGAGCGGCATCGACAAGGACAAGCCTATGCGCGTCTTCCTCGACGATCGTTGGCGCGCAAAGTCCAACTTACCCTCCGCCTTCCAACTCGATCCTGCAGCCGCTTCCGAAGCGCAACTGGGTAACACATACATCTTTACAGAGAAGGATCTGCCAGGGTTCAAGGGACAAGGCTTCGGCTATGGGAGAGGCCACGGAGGCTATGGTGGTGGTGTACAAGATCCGAATGCGCGCGTCCAAAAACGGAGCAAGTACAAGAAGGCGATCCCCAAACAGACTGCCCTCGTCGGCCACGCGACACGGCAGTACAACGCGAATCCTCTCGAAACCAAAGAGTTCAAGGACTTCAGCGCCGCGCGCATCAAGCAAGCCATTCAAGGCTCCTACACCACCACCATCATCACGAAAGACACCGAGGTCTCTGACGTCAACAACTCCATCACCCTCAACAACCGCTTCAAGAACTTCATCAAGCCCACGAC